GTTTTTAATGTATTGAATATTGAGTAGATTGATTATTTTATCTATAGCTTAAGCTTTCTCAAAAAGAAAGCTTCGCAATAGTCAGTGTTTTCGAATTTCACATATGCACAATTTCCACCGACTATTTCGAGGTCACTTTAAATTTAATGCCTTCTAAAGGTCTTTTACGTGTACATGATCTGTATGTTGAGTACTATTCTGTACCTGAATACTTATATTTTAAAGTTTATATGAATGATTAAGTAGGTACCCATGCATAAGATGAATCAATCGGATTGATTCTTAAAGAGTAGAAATCATTAGACTTTTCTCCAATCTTTTAAATATTCAGAAAGTTTTCTATTTGTACGCTTGCCTATAGAGAATTGAATCTATCATGCAATATACAAAAGTAAATATTACATCGATAAGAATAAATGATTTGATATTACCGCTTTAAGCGTGCAAAGTTACTTATTTTTAGTCAAGTATAATAATTTTGATTATAATAAAACTATATAATAATAATAAAAATATACAACGAAAATTAAGAAATTAATAAATGAAATAATTACTATAAAAATTAAATAATATAATAAAATGTTTATCTAGTTACATAAGTTTTTTAAATATTTGAAAAAACAAGATTTTTTTTATGTATATTTTTAATTTAGCATGCTAAAATAAGTAGCTTCGATGCTTTCAATGTCATGGTTATCATAATTTCCCTGATTTTCCAATCTACTCAAATAACTTATGCACATTATAAAAGTCAAATTAGCCCTTTTCATTTATCTTTTATCATTTGATAAATGAAACTTAAAATAATGATTCTATAGGAAAAATAAAAAAAATAGAAAGTTCTATTCTTTAACCTAGTATATGATATTTTATTTGTTTCTAATTTTCGAAGAAATATAAAATATGAATATAAATGTATAAAAACTACAAATGTAGCTTATTAAATTTTATACAATAATGTATGATATATTCATTTCAATTTTATAATATAGAAATTTTTTTTGCTATGTATAAAAAATTAGATATTGTTAAACTTTATATAGTGTAAATTAATTGAGATCGAATAGATCGAAACCCAACATATCTGTCACAAATAATAATTTTTTTTCTTTTAATAAATTATTAAAAATTATAGCTTCAATGATTCATGAATATACATCAATATTGATGTTTCCGTTTGCCTATATATAAGCTGTGGATGAAATGCCATTAATTAAATGTGCACTTTAATGTACATTATAAGATGGAAAAACAGAATTAATATGGAAAATAAAGAAATGTGTATAAAGTAATTGTAGAGAACAGAAATAAAAATCGATATACAATATCATAAGCATTTAATCATCTATATATGTTTTTTTCATTAAAATCATTAGATAATGAAAATTTTTGCTCTGCAAATAAATTATTTTTCAAAAATAAACATTTCCTTTTCAATCAAATATAATATTATTATTTTTTATATAAAATTTGCATATATTTAAAAAAGAATATTAATTGGTTATTTTACGTTTATATATATTAAAGGACAATAAAAATTGAATAATAATTTTAGTAATAATTTCCAAATCGATTAATATTTGAAACAAAAGAAATGTCTAATGTTTCGTTTATTAATTGATTTATTTCTTTGCTAAGTATTATTAAGTAATATTAATAATGAAATTTCTTTGTTCATATAAATGATTAGAATTCAAAATTATTTTATTTTATATTTTATATTTTCTTTTATCGAATGAATACCATTAAGCAAATTAAAATAATTTAAATTTGTTTTCAATACTGCCATCAGATTATGATTTCACAACATATGAACCATAATAGATTTTCAAAGAATTTAATCATTTATACAAAATAAATATCTTCAAAAATTTTCATATCAAATAATGAATATTTTATTCAATTCATTGAGAGATCATAATGTTATAATACTCGTATAAAATACACAAAAAAAGGAAAGTTTAAATAATATGAAAAATAAGGTGTACAGAGATTTATATACAGATACACGGTTTTATGTCATGGTTTTCACATAAAAGTTAACATGATTATAATTATAAATTTGATTTATCGTTTTACAGTTGAAAATCATCGGCAGATTATTACTGTTACTATGTATAGGATATATGGTAACATAGTAAGAGTTGTATATGCTTATGTGAACAAACCGTTATTCATTGCGAGGTTATTACGTAATGAATTAGCATTAGTAAATTGATCGATGCGAAGACTACATAAAGTGTCCTGAATACGATTTTTTTTTAAATTTCGTCAATTTTAGAAAACGATTTGTGCAAACATATATATCATTAAGAAATATTTCATTATTTTGGTTCATTGAAATTGAAATTGAAATGTATTTACAAAATTAATAATAGTACAATCTTACTATAGTTTTGACGCTTTAAATAATTATTCTAGTTTATGAGAAATAATATATTAAATTAATTATTTAATTAATTATACAGGTGCGCATATGCAGATATCAGCTAATCATTATTATTGAAATAATTTAAATATTCAATGTTTTAAATGTGGTTCATATCCTTTTTTAAAGTAGTTATTCGTAAGTGAGACTTAATACTATTGTACATCCTATTTAAATGACGTTTTCCACCGTTTCTTATATTATGTTGAAGCCTTATAACAGTATTCACAAAATAAAAATAGCTTCTTGTTGTAACCAAATAGTAAGTGTTAAGAATGATAATTTGATGGATGGTACAGTAATGGTGTTATGTATTTTGTTATATAAAATTTAAATGATTATTTAATAAATATTAAAGTTATGTACTTTTGCAACTAACCATTAAGACTTCTTACATATACATGAGCGTATGCACGCGCGTATGTATATGTACGTATAATTTGTGATTATTTATTGAAATATTATATAAATACGTAGTAGTACCATATATATTCAAATACCTGAAATACTTAGTAACAAGTAATATAAGTAAATTTTTTTTTCTATTATTTTATTGTATCTTAAATAAGCTTATATATACTAGAATCTAATAATAATTATGTAAAGTGTACTCAGTGTACATTCATAGAATTGCTAATAAACATTAAAACGTAATTTTTATTAAGTTAAGTTTTCAATATCAATACATGTAAAAGAATTCGCATTATAGATTTGTGAAAGAGATAATAATGCACTAAAATTACAATAAGTTTCAAATTCTGTACAGTATAAAATTCAATTTATTAAAGTTATTCTTATAATTTAAAAATATTTCTATATTACATCGATGCGCATATATAAAAAAATATTCACACATGTTCAGATATAGTAATTTTAAAAAGCATTAATACCTATCATTACTTATATACAACAAGTTTATGCATTTATATATCCACCTGTTAATACTTTTGTTTGCTATACATCAATAAACATAAAACTGAACGTATCAATTATTCAAATTGTCTCTTAAATTCAAATTTTTGTTACGATAAGATTTATAAGCAGTGCATAAAACTTACATTAATTATAATTTGTGCTATTAAAGAAAACGACTAATTAATTTTCTTTTAAGTTGTTTAATGAAACATCACATAGTATTGTTCATAAAATTAATCATTCAAAATTAAACTCAGGATTTAATATAATATGGGATACATTCGTTATTAAATTAAAAATTAAATTAGGATAAAGCCATTAACAAAAAAAAAAAAAAACAAAAAAAAACAAAAAATACAAAAAAAACCAAAGAAATTCATTGTAAAGTTAAGTATGAATATGAAGGTAATTTGAATCCTAATAAGCGGAAAATTTATATTTCTTAGCTGTATATATTACAATTTTATTTCCAAAATTTTAAGAATGAAAATTTATTTTAATTATTGCATTGTTATAAGTAATGATAGAACTATAATAATTTTAAGTGCCCTCAAGGTGTAGTAATTAAACGCATTAAATTTTTCAATATAATTAAATTTACACACAACAGGAGAATTTTCCATACAGTTGCACCTAAAAATATCTATAATATTGTTTTGTCAATATAGACAAATATTTTGTATATTCATGCGCAGTAATAAAGTATCTTTGTAGTTAATAATTATTTCTAATAGAGCGCAACAGTAGATTAAATAACTAGTACATGGTTATATTAAATTACATAATTAAGATTAAATTTCATGATATATTATCTGGAATATATGCGTATAAACGGAATAAACATGAATTGCATATGTAGGTTGACGAACTGAAATTGTCTTAATATTTCTAAAGTGATGAATGATGTAAAAGATAATGTAACCAAAGTCTACGATAAAAAAGTTAATTTATTTTCTTCGTATCAATTGAAAATTTTTTGCTCGAGTTCTCGCATAGACGTCCAAGAAATAAAAAAAATTCTTGACAAACTGCGAAAATAAATTATAATTCATTTTTATATTGAAATTGTATCTACATTGTACAATAATTATATTAAAATATTTGTTTCGAACGCATACAATTTCATGCGCTACGGCAGTTGTAATAAGGTCCAGGCTATCAGAGTAAATGTATCTGTAGCTCTCGATAAATTGCCTATTTTTAATAGATTATAATTTTTGAATAATTTCGAATTCAATCTAAAGTACGTTTGAAATTATAAGGCTTCAGTGAAATTTGAACAATGCTAAGCAGTAGCGCTTTAAACGTTGTTTACGAAGCGATCTCGTTTACATTGGACGTTAGTGCTTTATATCCAAAGTCAAATAATATGTAAAATCGGGTGTGGGGGCAAATGGTCCGATAAAATATAATGGACATAATAGAGCGAGGGGTGGATTGTCCAACCGTTATTTAATCGTTGTTTGCTGTGTTCATTCGATACTCACAAGAGGCGAGGGCCACCTTACGAGGAAAGCTCCTCTTCTTCGGGCTCACCGGGGTCCACGCGCTTCTCAGGCCCTCGCACTTTCTTCCGCGTGATCCGCGCGTGGGCTGCGGCTCGTCTTCACGTCGCGAGTAGAATGCCGACGGCGAGATAAAGATAGAGAGGGAGGGATAGAGGTGAGAGTGGGATGAAAGATTCGCAGCCGAGCACGCGAGAATCGGCCTGGAGGAGCGACGCCGATCTCCTTGAGGATCGCGCGCTCTCTCGCGGACGCGCATCTCGAAGCAGCGCCGGGAGCAGCGCCTTTTCCTTTCTCTTTCTCCGTAGCAGTGGGAGGGCTCGAGCTCTCGAGCGGACAACCGAATAGCGGCCGCAGTCAGCCAGCCAGCGAGCAAACGGTGGCCGACGGGAGACGGAGCGGAGCCCAGGTAGAGCCGAGTAACCCAGCCGAGGGAAGCCGCCACGAGCAAGTCGAGCATCATGGGTCTCCAGGGTCTGCAGGGCGCTTTCATTCTGTGAGTCGACTTTGTTTAGCCTAGTCTACTCTTAGCCGCTTAGCGCCCGCCGGGCGTGTTTGTCTGGCTTACATTTGCCCGGCCGAGCTTTACTTTAGCGTATTGGAAAGCCGGTGGAGCGCGCTTGTTGCTCTGTGTAGAAACGATGGGAAGTGCTGTGTGTTTGTTTTTCATTTTCAAATTCCGCGATTGCGCACTCCTTGCCAATGCCCGAAACCCAATCGCGGAGACGCGACAGTAAAAGTGAAAAACTTCCATCCCCTTTTCCGAGATCTACGGAAGCCCAGCTACAGCCCCTTTCAAATTGACGTCATTGCGTTCGCGTCTGCTGCTCCTGTTGCTGCTGCTGCTGATTATTATTATTATTATTATTATTATTATTATTATTATTATTATTATTATTTATATTATTATTAGTATTATTATTATTATTGGTAGTAGTAGTAGTATTATTATTAGTATCATTATTATTATTATTATTATTGTTGTTGTTGTTGTTGTTGTTGTTTTCGTTGTCGTCGTCGTCGTCGTCGTCGTCGTCGTCGTCGTCGTTGTTGTTAATGTTAATATTGTTGTTATTAGTATTATGACTAATCACGAATCCACTCGATTCCATTGGAAGCTTTATATTCTCCCTTACACCACGAACTCGAAAACTATCATTAGTATATAAATACTTTAGCAAAATTGTTTGTTCATACTCATCGACGAGTCTATCCTTTGTCGCTTACAACTTGTCGCTTAGCGTCAGTGTTACTGGCGCCCGCGCATACCCACAGCTTTTTGAAGATCGCGGGTCTCAGCTGATACTGGCTATTTGGTTGATGCAGATTTTTAAACCCCACTCGCCTCCGGCCTCAAGATTGACTTTCACCTGATTTTTTTGCCACTAGGACTAATTCAGTAGGTGCAAGAGCGAGAGCAAGAGCGTGACCGATCGACGTAACACGCGAAATCTTACACGCACTTTCAAGGATTGATCTCGATATGCAGGCTTATACAGATTTATCTTTAGCATTAAGACCGTCTTTTAATTTTATTTCTCGTTTCATGCTTGTCCGTATACACGGGCGCGCACACCCACACGCGCGTGCACCAAAAATCATATGCAAGTGCGCATGGCTTTGGGAAGTATCATTTTTTAGTGCAAATGTATAGTAAATACGATGAACATAAATACGACAAATAATATATGTTGAAAATCAAATTCTTAGAATTGTAATTTCTTTGGTAATTAGCTTGGAATTATAAGACAACTAATGTATTAAATTTCTAATGATTAAAGAAATTAACAAAAGTAACAATAACTTTCTAAGAATTTCATTAATTTGGAAAATATATGATAATTTACCTATTTTAAATCAAATTTGCAAATTTTCAAATTCTAAATCTTAATAGTAATATAGTAATAATAAATATAGTAATATAGTTTTTGAATTTTCTAATCGATACATCCAAATAGTGTCTATAATATCTTAAATATACACGAAAAAAAAATTTATCGCATATGTATTCATTCGGCTTTAAACGGACGATGATGTAAATAAATGATTTATCAATAAAATAGAAAATTCATTATTATATTGTTATAATATCGAAAATCCGTCATGCAATTAAAAAATTCATTAACCCCTTAAAATAATTATATACTACATATCATTATAAATACATTGATATTTAAAAATTAAATTAATTTTATTTGAATCTATTCATATTAATAGCGTGTTCATTTTTACTTAGATTGTAAAAAAATTGAGTAGAATAATATAATTTTTCCTGGATTTGAATATATCAATGTTATTGTTAATTATAACCATATTAAAAATATAATAATTAATAGATATTATTACCGTGCTCCTTACCTAACTCATAACCTCAGTAAGTTATTTAATTCTTCATAACTGAGCGATTTAGGCTGAGGCTCCAAACAACTTCATAAGCCAAGATTATATAAAATATTATATAAAATGCTATTATCGGTTAATTAAATGCATGCATCGAGGCTTGCTATATTATATTCTAATACAAGAATTAAGTATTTTAAATCAAGATCATATTTCTAAGAAGCAGCTGGGTGATCGGTTGTAAGCAAATTTCCATTGTACGCCCAAGTGTGTGCGCACTCTCATTCTCAAGCGTAGATAAATAAAGGAAAGTTATTTCAATAGCTGTCGCAATAACATGTCACTATTGACGCATCCGCGAGGCTGCAAAAATCTGAAAAAAGAAAAAAAATCAAAGACTAATACGACATCGCATATTTTCATATTAACTGTGAAAAAATTGTTATCTTATGGATTCATATATAATACGATCGCTTGTCTACACGTGAGAGACAGCAGTAGAATATAGAAAGCGAGACGACTTTTCGCGGGGACTGAAAATACTTTTCGCCGGCCAATGTGCGGTTCTCTTTCCAACCACATACTATCTACATACATGTATAAATACTTAAGTGTATTTAAATTGCCGGTATACTTAAGCTAAACCATATAGATGACCTCGATCTCATTTTTATTATGAATTTGTTATTTTTTAATTTCTCTTGAAAATTTTCAAGATTTGTTATGCGGTAAAAAAATTTATGCCTCTCATAAAAATAAGGTACAAGAAATTAATTTCTTTTAAAGTATCATATATATTAATATTTATATGTAAGACTTTATGCACAAATATGAATGTATATATAAACTTACTTGTACTTCCTTTTATTACACTTCCATTCTTGGAATCTGACGTCCGACATCTTTGATGGCTCTATTATTTAAAAACTAACAATAAGTAAAATTTACCTGAGTACAAAATATATACCTGAATTAGTCCTCAGTTATTTTTCCATCTCTATAAGCATTTTAGTTTATGTATATTTGTTCTGATTCACGATTCATATATGAGTGAGGATGAAATGAAAATTTCACTTTAACAATTTAGAGAGCTACTATTGGAAACTGTTGGAACATATGCGAACATTTAAACAATCTACTGTTTCGTCAGATAAATTGTATAAGAATTCAATATTATGGAAATTGGTCTTTTTATGTACATATAATTAATTACAACAATTTTTATATTTAAAATTAATTATTACAAATTTATTTATAAGGTAGACAACATTTAACGATTATTTCAAATTGTATTAAAAGACATTTAGAAATCATAAGGAAATAAAAATTTGGTAAATATAATTATTTTCTCATTAATTGCCATTAATATTATAACCATTTTCGTATAATAATAAAATTACAAACACCAAAAATTTATTAAATATACAGTATTATAAGTTATTATTCATATGATATTCATTATATGTCACATATACTTCCATATTAATAACTTATTATTATTATTATTATATATAGCTAAACGTAAAAATGATCATTTGCATAACATTTTACATAATTGGAAGAAAAATACAATATCGTCAAGAAAATACTCAACACGACTCCATAAAAATAATCTTATATAATAAATGTATTGTACATAAATTAATTACTATCAATTATCGTAACTCAATTAAACTAAACTACATATAAAACTTCTATTAAATAGTTGAAAGATATTGATTGTATTATTAAGTAAATTTGCAAAATAATTTTTTTCATTAGAAACCTACGTATATTTATATTAAAAATTTATTAATTTACATTATCTTTATAAATTCATTTATTGAAAAATATTAGATATTATATAATGTAATAAATGAAAAATACTTATACTAATGTAAAAGAATAACAAATATAATTTTCATGTATGATATTCCTAAGTAACATTAACAATAATTATAATTTTTCAATAAATTAATTTCCCGGTCTATTATTATGCATATTATTAGTAGTAATTTATTTGCTTCTTTGAATTAAATTAATAAATTCTTTTCAACGTTGAATGATATTACATAAGATTTCTTATAGATAATATAAATAGTGCACAATTAGATTTACTAGATTCTGATTTCGTTTATATATGCAGATGATATTATTTTATCAATACTAATAATCAAAAGTTTTAAATATAATCCAAATTAAAGTTATATATATATATATATATATATATATATATATTAATATGAATGTTTTTGTTAATATTGATGAAATTATCTCTAAAAAAAAAAAAATTTATATTTTGATAAATCTATCTAAAAATAATAAAATTCAAAATAATATTCTATTTTAAAAGAAACATTTAAAATATTTAATATCTAATCGATTAAATTCAATCATTTAATAAATAATATTTTAATTTTAATGGAATTCATAATTTATACAAAATTCAAAATTTTCAACCTCTGTATGATATTTATGTATGCATAATGATATTTATGTATGTATCAATATAAACAAGTGATTATAAAATATTTGAATAATAGGCATTTATAGATAGAACATTTATAGAGAAATAAATAGATGTTGTCAGTAACTTTGAATAATGCAATAAAATACTGTTTAAAATACCTTTGAAATATAATTACAATTTTAAATAACTGAAAACTTTATAAATTGTTTTTTTAATAAGCATTAAATTTGATACAATTATTGTACTATTCACAAATTATTTTCATGTATTTATATCAATGTATTGTTTTTAAATATTAGAGTGTTTATTAAATTTTATTAAATATTTATATTACTGTATTTAATTACTCTTACAAAATTTTAAAAGAAAATAATATATAGCCAGAAAAAAATTTATCTCACAAATTTTTTCAATAGTATAATTAGATGTTAAAGTATTTTTTATTTATTTTACGAAATGCTATAGAATAACTTCCATATGCAATTTTAAAACATTTATTTATTACAATTTTTTCTCAAATTAAAAAAATTTTATTGCCTATTAACTTTTACAAATAGTTATTTATCGATTTTATTTTCGATCAAAAACTGGTTATTGCAATTTATAAATTTCCATTTATCAATTAACGACTCATATCGACATAAAAAGAAACAATATAATTTCATTTTATATTGAAAACACTTTTATTTAGAAATGTATTCAATAAATACATATAAATTAATCTGTTCTATTAAAGAAAAAATTAAATATATATGTATTTCTTTTATACTGAGAGCTACACTTGATATTTCTCTCGAGTAGTTTTAGTATATACAAGATATTAAACGATTAGAATTAAATAATTTAAAATATATTTAAATAATTAACATAATAGCATTTATGAAACTCCATGTACATGTGAATAAATATTAAAAGACTTAAAAACAAATAATATGTGATTTACAGTACATATAAGTTATTTATTTACATTAAGTTATAACTTATAATTATTTACATAAGGCCAACTAATTAATTTTGAAATTCTCTTTATATAATGTGTTAGTCCGTCATTTGTATATTGTCGATCATACTCCTGACTGTCTAATTTCTTAACTGGATTATTTTAATCCATAACTGTATAATGTTGTATTTCGTTACTTCCATATTAATTGCATTGAACAAATAGCGAATATAAGCAGAGTCTGTGTAGTAATTCTTATGTTAAATCTAAACGTTAATCAATCTTTAACGTCATCACTATTTCTATAAGATCATAAGAGAATAAATGTTGCTAATATATAATACCCAATTTAATCTATGATTAGGAAGAGTATGAGTCGAATATTTGCCATATAAATCAAAGTATTTTTAACTGTATCCCATATATCCATATTTTCTATCATCTCTACCCTTACTCCAATCATTTCACTATCTACCTGTACACATACATATATACTTATATATGCGTGCGCACACTCTTACGTACCTACTTGTATAAAAAAAAAAAAAAAAAAACTATACACACACTTTCGTTTTAAGTCTTAAGTTTTGGTACAAGATTCTTGTTACTTAATCAACTCCAATAGCTCTCTTCTTATAGCAAAGATCACGATAATCTTATCCAAATGAGGTAACCGTATACTTTCCTCTTAGTGATTCGAACTGTAATGACTCTCCATTTTCCTGTATTGTGTAAGAATCTATTTTCTTCTACTTTTAATCTCATCTCTAAACTTTTTATATCTATATCTGACGAGTATTTTAAGCATCTTTCAATTCGACATATTTAATACTTTTGTTAATCCGAACGTGAAATTTCATCAATATCATATTAATAGCTAAAATATAATATTTTGAAAGCTGTCTATTAAAATAATTTAATATTTTAAATCAATATATGATAATTACATATCGTATTTCTAATTTTCTGTATTTAATTTTGTTTTAATACAAATACTATTATCGAATCTAGTTATTTATAGATGTCTTTAAATAAATGTATACATTATTTACTAATGCTTAGTAATATTTATAATGTTCATTATGCATCCATTTTTTTTTTCTCAATACCTTACATTATCGTTCACATTGCTAAATAATATTGCTTCCCCTTTAAGTAACCCTGTACATCCAAGTAGAACAAACTAGTTATGGTACGACGGCATTAGTTTGGTTTGTTTTAAAGGTAACGAAAATAATTCACAATATAAATTAAAATCTTTCATATCATACATAGAAAAAATAAATTGTCGTATGTTTTTAACATAAACAAACTAATATTTTAATATTTGAAAATAATTAATTTGTTTTTTTTTTTTTATTATATGAGAAATAAAAAAACAGAGCGACACAAATGTATATGTATGTATATAAGTGTGTGTGTGCATTTGTCGGTCTTTACGTGCGCGCGCACTTGTGTGTATATAAATTTTTTGACTCGAAAATCACCATTTGATTTAAGATATGTGATATGAATTTAATTATTTTTCGCTAATAACGAAAAAAAAAAAAAAATTGCCACTCATTAACAGTATCTGATGAAAAAGAAAATGAAATGGTTTTCTTAATTTGTATTGATTCAAGATAAACGTATTTATTAAAGAATATTATTAATAATCAATGTAATGGCCACTCAAATATTTTATGATCTTGTTAACATATTAAACCTAAATAAAATATTTATCAATTGATGTTCAAAAACGTTGTTGGAGAAAATGGAAAAATTTTCTACAATAATATGAAACTTGAAATTTTGTTTAGTTTGCAGATTTGCTGTCTCTTGGCGTTAACGGTGGCAGTAACGAGAGATGAACAGCAATTATCAGATGTGCCTCTAATTCAGGGTATACCGATAATATCCTCACAAGCCCGGACTGCACGTATCGCAGGTAAATCCCACAAAATGTGAAATTTTCAAAATCATTCCTGACCCCTTCCTCGATAAATGTCATCATTACTTTAGCGTATTTCAGAATTTGTGTCATCACACAAGATACCAGATAACATTAATCACAAAGATGCTCGACTTCTTGATCGCATTGATCGTGAAAATGAGGAGGAAGAGGAGGATAAAGCTGATACTGACCTTGGAAACTACGGCAACTCAAGACTATTCTACGAGGATGAAGTACCGCTAAGAAGAACCTTGTCCCAGCAAAGTCATCATTACTCAAGTGGCAAGCAAAATCTCCGAGACAGAGATGAGACTTTTTCTGGCGTTCGTGTCAGGTGAACATTTATGATATTATATCTTCTTTTCAATTTATATTTTTGAAAATTATTTATGAGATTAATCTTTATATTTTATTCCGATATAACTATTGCATAACAGATATAACCCCATGATTTTATAAAAATAATTGTTAAAATTCTTTATACAGTCAGGATTATTTCAACACGGAAATTGAAAAAAGTTAGTGCTTAAAAAAATTATAAATCAATTACAAATTTTTTTACAATAAAGTAAATATTATTATATGTGATTATATATAATTAATAGTAAAGATTTTTATGTATATATTAATTTATAAAAAAATGTGCAAAATCATACTAAAACAGAAATTGTTGAATGTGAAATCTGTTTTTTTTATTAATATTTATTTAATCAAATACAAACTTCGTTAAAACTATAATTAAGGTATTTTGTTAAATTGTACTTTTAATTAGAGAATTTAAGCCAATAAGGTTAATATAAATAATATTTTATATGTATTTAAAATACTGCCGACTTGTCACATCTATCTTTAAATTTTTAGTAATACAATTGTTTTTCTAATCTCATGATAATAATCATTTTCAGTCTTGTTTATATCAATATGTTTTAACCTCTGATTGATAAAATTAATGATATTCTTAAGAAGATTTAACGTTTCATTTTTGAAAATAATAATGTAATTATTTTAATTTCAACGTAGTATATCTGAATTTAAGGAAAACATAGTATCTAATAAATTGAATATAAATAAACTATTAAACGAAGTATTATAAAACATAATATTCAAAAACATAATGCAGATTCAACATATTTAAATTAATATGATAGAATTTTTAATTTTAATTATACTTGATTAACTATTATAGTTATTAAATATGATCTAATGATAGTAAAAACAATTACCTAATATATTCTACATACATAATTAATATTTTGAAATAGTTCTTTCTGACTAAATTTTTCTTTATTATATCCAAAATATAATGAATATATTTGCGTCCCAAAGAGTACGTTACAAAAATGAAGTATTATATTAAATTATTAGTAAATTCTTCATGTATTTATAATATTTTGAGGAGAAAAGTTTTAATTAATAATGGGAATTATTTTTATTCATTAGTTATATATTTATTTTCAAAATAAGTTAATTTAAATAAGTTAATTGCACCGAACATGATAAATTTTTTTTTTGATTACTAATAATATATTGTTTACTTTAAATCTATGTTAGCCATGAAAACCCAACAACAATGCTACCAATTTTAACTACTCAAAGAGACAATCAACTTTTCGATTTTGTTCCGGTTAATATAATTCGAGAAGATGCCAAGGGAAATCCCTTCGCTCCATTCGATAATAAAAATTTTGAAGATCTCGGTGATATTAGTCTTGTGCCTGCAGGTTCCAACACTAGAATTCAGGTATATATATATGTATATATATATGTATATATATATAAGCTATTCGTTGAGAAATCTAAACAAATTATATAATTTAGGAAATTTTAAGAAAACCGATCACATCAAATCTGATAATAAATATATCATATCCTAAAGTACTTATGACATGCTGTTACTTAGCGTAGATCTTAGTATAAATAATTTTAAAAAATGTAGGTAATTAGAAAATTTATTCTTACATTAATTTTTAAGGAGCTATTTCACTTTTACTTTTGACATTCATTGAATATAATCCAGAAAATGAGTAATTCAATCATAAATATATAAGTAATGTAATATAAATTTAAAAATTTTATGAAATCCATCATCCTGTTTAAATCATTAATGGCGTTATCATTAAATACTATTAAATTTAATAGTATCTAAAATAATCTGACATTGATAGTGCTTTATTAATAATAATTAATAATTTCGTGTGGTACCTGTCATCCATAATTATAAAAATAAGAAAAATGGCCTTTACAGTGTTTTATAATTGTGAGTTTTTCATTTTACCGTTTGTCAATGTAAGCTAGATTATATAATTAACAAAATATTCTTAAAACTTAAAGATGATCAAGTAAGAGAAAATATTAATATAATCATATTATATAAGATATAAAAGTCGAAGGCATATGTAGTGTCATTAAGTATGGAGTGAATAATATACTTGAAAAAATAATAATAATAAATAAATAAATAGAAATCGAGATCATTTTCCGTATCTAGTACTCATTGTACTAAAAGGTGATTTTTTTTCAAACATGAAGGTAAAGAAAGGTCCGAACGGCAAAGATTATGAATACGAATACGTGTACTACTACTATGACGAAGAAGATGAAGGTAAGGGCGGGGCCACAGCTAGTAATTCACAAGAAGCACCTACGAGAACGTCGGCACCCACCTCGAATTCCGGAACACCACCAAGGCGCAGTAATCCTAACCGCAATAAGTATAGTACGCTTGACAGAACCACGACCATTGAACCCGTCATTAACGAGGTGATACCAAGCGGAAATGGAAGTAGGGCTAGACAACTAGATAACATTAACGTGGATATATCTGAAGAGAGATTGCCAACCAATACTCGCTTTCCACCGAGGTAATGACTTTTCCTTTCATTATTCGAACTAATGATTATGAACTACTCGCGGCTTGTTCAGTTTTGTTAATAAAGTGTACTACGGAGTTTTTATGTTTAATTGTCCAGGACATTATTTGCTTAAGAAAAAGTACGTATAATTCATTCGAGCGATCAAATCAACATCTTCTAAGCGATCTAACAGATACTTTATGCATGTAAGATAAGACAAAATATTTCCTATTTATAAAATATATTTTTAATTTTTTTTTTTTTTTTTTTTTTTTTTTTTTTTCAATTACATAATTAAAAATAATATCGGCAATTATAATGATAATAATTATTATAATAAATTTATCAGTATATAAAATTTATTAATACTTAATGTTTTAATACTGAACCCGACAATATCATAAATTCTATATTTGTTAAATTAGATTCTATTTGACAAAGAATTCTTTGACAGTTTATAATATAATTTGTTTAAATATTGCCTAAATTTTCATCGATAAAAGTAAAAAAACTCTTATTTTAATATTAAAAACTACAAGATTATAAATACATTAAGACAATAATAATAATCAACGAATTTCATATTCGTAAATATTTTACGATCAAATATACTATGAATGTTCGTCAATATATTTTTAATGAGACTTAAAACTCTTTTTATACAAGTATAAAGAAAATTAACAATTCAAAATGAATTTCTATTGCTATTGAAAGCAGTCTTTTATGTGTCTTTTATCTAATATGCTAATACCAAAGTTGTTAGAATTATACATCTGATATAATTTATAGACTTTGGAACATGGAAATTAGTTGCCACCCGAAATACTTAAAATATATAAAATATATTAGCTAATCACAAAAAAAAGATACACGAAATTATTCTTTTTGATCTAGTATTTTCATGATATTTTCCACTCTTACGCTGCTAGCATCATATAAATTCTTTATTAATAAATTCTTATTTTAATTAAAAACACATTCTTCTTTTTACATGAGTATACTTAAATTAAGAAACTGAAAGTTACGAAATATCACGTCACTCATCTAAAATGTAATTTTATAGAGGAAGTTCTTCTACTATATTCAGCTATTGAGAAATAATTATTTTCTTCATTTTTCTTTTTTTTTTTATGTGTTCATTAATCATTTATCTGCAATTAAAAAAAATATTAAACAATAATTATAACTAATTTTTAATGCCAATTGTATTTGTAATGCATTTATATAATCAAATAAGCTAATAAATATTAATCAAAATTTATTAATCAAAATTTATTATAAATTAATTGTATAATATTATTTTTGAAAATTTCTTTTTATGATGGTATTATAAAACAATACACATAACTCTATTTTATTTATCAAAAAAGAGTCCTAATGTGTTTAAATATCGGAAAAATGTATAAATTTATTTTCACAGTTATGAAACTATTTTCTATATAAATAATTTTGTCATAAATATAATCGTTAAGTTTTGCAGGCTGTTGTAACACATATTTTAACATTTTAAGTAAGTAATTTATAAAAAAAAAATAAGCTCTTTTACATGTTCTTTAACTTTTTGACTTATGACTTTTTGATCTTATAACTCTTGAAACATGTTTGTCTTTGTGCCTAAGTTTGCATTAGTAATTTCAGAATAATATATTCTATAAGATTTTTCTGACCTGTTTAAATAATAAGTCTAAACAATTATCATGCATACACTGTATCTGAAAATACAATAGGCAATAAAAAGTGTATGATTGATTACTCGCTCAATTCACTTGGTTGGCGTTGGTCCAATTATTTGAAGCGTTGGCCATTATCTGCGAGTGAAAACGATACTTTCCCGTACGAGCGAGCATGTGTGCAAGACGAAAATAAAAATTAAATAATATGTCGAACATACTTTCGCATCAGAATTAAAAACAGAAGAATTAAGTGAGATCAATTCAGTCTCGCGTAGATAATTTTTTTAACGTTAATTACAAGAATGTAGAAAACGTAGTAAAGTTAATTCTTTTAATCTCATTGTTAATAATCACTACACTTTAGAATATTCTATGTATTGTATGTATTCGACTGTGGCGAAGATAATTTATACCTTATAGTGAATTAAATACTTATCAATTAGAAATATAATTCAAGCAGGTAATTTATTGAATTTGCCGTTTCTAGTGCTGGGAAATTGCACATTGTTATTACTTTAACACCAAGGTATCAGAGATTTTCGATTATTCGAATGATTATTTACACCTTCGAATAATCTAATAATACAACAGTATAAAATCATTAAAAATAAATTCATAATTTATAAATAGTAAATTAACGATATAAAAATTCAATTCTATCCAATATAATTTTAATTAATCATTATAAATTATAATTATTAAATTTTCCTATATCATAATAAATTATATTTATATTATCATCGTGATACTGCTTGACAGATAATGCTTGATAGAATATTAGAAAATCTGATATTTATACATTGTACATATGACTGATTATAAAAATTGTATAAAACTATTTTTTAATAAAATTTCATACTTTTTGTAAAATTTTAATAGATAGATTTCGATAGTCAATAAAATCATTATTTACTTGAGCCAGTCCCTGAGTCACATTTAATTTAAAAAATCTGTTAAACAAAATTTCTAAAAACTTTTTTATAATGAAAGAAAAATAATAGAAAACCCACGCAATTCAACAAATTAATAATTTTTTTTACATTTATTCGCAATAACCGGGCTCAATTATCATGTTTATAATATACTTTTCGTATGATTTGGAATCCGGGATCATATTGAAAATTGAAAGCAAGCACGTAAAATTATTCAGATCGCGAGTGAATCAAGCCGCAGATACAACAGAGCGCGTCAACCGGGTTCGAGGTAATCGTCAAAGAACTACTCTTGACTCTATCGATTCAAGCAGCTTTCGAGGCCAGCAGGAGGGTCCGGAATTTCCACAAAATCTTCCAAATGGGCCTGTAAGATTCCTTGGAGTGACGCCTAACGAGGGCAGCGAAGATAAAACGACATCACGTGTTCGTAACAGACCTCAAAAGGTTCAAGAACCCGCACCTGTCCATGAAAGTTATGAGGATCCAACGTACACGAGGAAGCGACCGGTAGTTGAACAATATGATGTAAAGCTTTCGACCTAAATGCCTACTATTTTTATTAAAAAATATGAAATTATTCTATGTCACATTCTCTAATAAGTAATTCACTCAATTAACTTCAATTTAATGCAGATACTCCCATCTATGAAAATATTAAATTCTTTTATAAATTATTAAATTTATAAATTATATATAATTATACAGATATTATGGATCTCTAATTGGTAATATTTGAGAAATAATAGATAGCATATACATACACAGATCATATGTTTTTAAAATAAATTATATTTTCATTAATTCATTATTTATTAATTTATTCGATATTAATTCATATGTTAATATAAAGTTCTTGTCTAGGTGCATATTATACACATACAATTAATTGTAAATATGTCTAGCTAAACTAATAATTAAGTGGTATTATGCCATTTCACCTTCGTACAGCGAACACAATATTATAAATCTTTTTTATGTTGCATTTCAAAAAAATCTAGTAAAAGATATTTATATATTTTTTAACTCTCCATATAATATAATCGTTGTTTAATATATTTAATTCTTCAATTAAATTAAAGATATAGAATTTTTATTGTTGGCGAACGTCAACGTATATTAATAACATTGAAATAATAATATTTATTAATATTATTTAACATTATAATATCTCTATAATTTATGAATTTTTTAAAAGATAATTTAAGAGTGAAGATAAAACAGTGTTTAGAAAATTAATGAATTTTTAAAATTTGTAAAAAATCTTCTATTTATTATTTATTACGGCCGTTTCTTTAATAATAAATCATTTGAGCAAATAAAAGCCTGTTGCGTTTTTATAGAACTCGGATGGTCAAGAGAAAATTCAGCTTCAAACCCAAACTCAATTCCGACAACATCCATATTCAAGTAAAGACGATGAGTTCAGTGCACCTATTCCTATGAGTTCAACTTCGAGAAATTTACCAGAAGACAGAGACTTTTATACAGATCTCATAACGGAAGTTACTGATAGCCCCACTACTCAAGTACCTCAAGCAATGGATAAAGTCGCATTGGATTTATACGCATTTCTACAGCAAGGACGTAGTAACCTGGTAGATTTCGTGAAGGATATCGATGATGATAGTTCGACTACCGAGCCTCCATTTAACTTCGGAGAGATTACTACCATGGCAGAAAGTGATATTGAAGACTACACTTCAACTGCAGGTCCACCAACAACTACTCCTACAACCACTAGTACAAGTACAACGACTACACCGGCGACGACTACAACTACAACCACGACCACTGCTGCACCGCCATCAAGTACCGAGGAAGCAAATAATGTGGTACCAGCTCTTGGTCGCGGTAAATTCCGAAGGCCAACAGTAGGCGGTCCTGTTGTATCCCGAAATCGATTTAAGTCAGGCGCTATCTTACCAAATTCAAACAGTGCTGAACCTAAGCCTACTGAACCTAGCTCGGTGAATAGCTCGACACAGAAAATTCGTGGCCGTTTTGGTCAGGCTTCAGGGAACGGAGGTTTTAAACGCGCTAGACCCTCGGGACACAAACAATCACAACAGCCGAGTGCCAGTTTAGATGAACAAGTGCAAAAAGAGAGCGCAGATAAAGTAATTGTCGAAGGGAAGCCTGGGCCTGGTCGAGGTCGCTTTAGGGGAGCAGCAGCTCGCTCAGGTTCACAAGCTAAAACAACATCTGGAACGCTAATACGAGATAAAGTGACGACTACAACGGGCAACCCGTCTTCGTTAGGACCTGTACATCGACCTGGTGGCTTCAATAAACTCAGTCCTATTGCTAGACGACGTGGAAATCGGCCAGCTGTTGAACAGAGTATTTATATTATTTTTTTATACGTAATAAACATGAAAATTATACAAATTTAGTCCAAAGTTAAATGCCACAAATCAAGTATCAATTAAACTACACTTCTTTAAATTTATTTAATCGAAATGCTTTACACTAAATAGAAGCTATCTTTGTAGTATACTATTTATTCCTATTTTTTAATTAAAATCAAATAAAATAAAATATAACTGTAAACTAATTTATATAGACAAATTAATTAATTATTAATATAATGATTAAAATATAAGTTGAGCGATTTTATTTTCCTTATAGCATTGAAACTTAATGATTCAATTTGATCAAATTGATATGATATTTTTATTGCCAATCTTATGTTTATTTGCCAATAAAGAATATAGATTCAAAGAGATTTTTATATTCGCATATAGAAACGTCAGTAATAATATTAATAATGAAAAGTATAATTTGCTATTTTAAAAATTTGTTCATTGAAGAATTATCATTTAAGAGTTAAATTATATTTAAAAATTTTAATAAAAATAATAAATAAAATTATTGTCCTTTAATTAAAAAAAATTTTATTTATCAAATAGCTTTATATTAAATACATTGAAAATAATTGAAAAAGTATTAACATTATTTTATTTATATTAAATAATTTCAATGTTCATATATAGACTCACCATCAAGCGAACAAACAACATCTTCGGTAAGTCCGGGCCAGGAAAGTAGTTCTAACGAACAACAACGACCATTATCTAAATTACCAACAATTGGATTACGACCTAAGCCACTTAACAAACCCATCATTAAACCCGGTGCTGGAAGATTAAATTTAAGACCCAGGCCAGGACAATCTACGCCCTCGTCAACGGCCGAAGCTGTTGCGGTAGACGCGGCATCCTCGCCACCTACCGTTGAAGCTGCAGCTGATGAACCAGCAAGTGAGGGTACAGAAGAAGAAACTAGAGAAGTATGTCGATCGGCTTATTCGGAAAATGTTACTTACCATTTTAAATTAAAAATAGAATATTAAGAATTCGAATATTCAAGTGTGAAAAAGCAGTGATTATTAAATAATTATTAAATCTTTTTATACTAATCAATGCTCATCACAAATTTGTTAACTATTTTGTATTAAAACATAATTAAATTTAGAAAATAATATTATTTAATCTATTACTACGTTCAACTGTTAAATTTATTAATCTAAACTATTAAATTATAAAATTCTATTAATAAAATAGAATGAAATAATCTATTAAAAATGATTTATCCATCATTAATAATATTACTAAATTAATATTGCTATAATCTAATAGTATTAATTTAAACAATTAATATTAATATTAATTAGATAATTAGAAGGTTATATATTTTTTTTAAATAATATTTTAAAATAGCGTATATAATAAAACTCCTCCTCTTATGTATATTTTTTATAAACGCGCGCACACACACAAACACACACACACAAAATGACTCGCACGCCTAATGGTTTCTATCAGAATATTTGGTAATTAAGAAACTTTTATGAATGTAATGCGATAAGAATCCAATAATTAAATGAAATAAGTGAAAAAAACTATTCCAGGCACCTGTTGAGTCGAGTCCAGCAGCACGTCCTGTTACAGTCAATCCTTTAAATAAGCTGCGCAATCGTAATAGAATACAAGTGCAACCGAAGACGACGACTGCAAGAACACCTTTACCACCGGCTTCTCGACGCTCCCCCCTACTATTACCTCGTCGCAAAACAACGGAGACGCCAATCGAAGTAGCTGAGCCCGTTACAGATGCTCAGCTAGATGCTGCTCCTGCTTCCGACGAATCTGAAACAACACAGTCATCCCCATCGGCTTCCGAGGCTAATATCCCAATTACTTTGAAACACGAGGAGTCAAGCAAGAGTCTGAGCAGTTTATTAACGCCTAGACGTAGGATAGCTTTGAGAAGACCGGGGCAGCCAATATCTCTCGCTTCTGAGTAAATTCTATCCAAGCTTAGAGTGATTGACTCGGATAAAGTAATGTAACGAACCGAGCTTACTTATTCATAAAATGTACTAACGCAGCTCAACTTATCATTTCAATTCAATAGACACAAAGCTTCATACTCTTGGAATACGTTCATACGTTGGAAAACCCTACGTTACAAGAGTATCGTTTAAGCAGAGTTCTCAAAGTACTTATTTTCACAATTGAAACTGTTAGCTAGCAAGATTTGGATTTTCTATAATTAAATAATATAACGCTAATACGTAAACCATTGGTTCAAGCTTAGAACTAATGCAATACTAAATTTTGAAATTCCGTACATTTTTCACTCACTATTATATGGCAAAGTTTCAATGTAAACAAAAAATTGGAGTGTACACTTTGTGAGTGAGACTAAGAAACCGATATTAAAAAGTTGGGTATCTGTAACGCCGCTCATGAAATCACTGAATATTTTAGTAGTTGAAACATCAAATTCATTGAATTATTGTGTAATCTTGGTAACACAATTACGCGACTACTTACCTATTCCAACGTATTCAACTTTATTTTATATTTAATATCATTGAGAGATGTTGCATTTGACGGTTTATTTTCATCTTTGCATCTCTGCTTTGAATTTATTACGAGACAATTTTTTGTTACTGTAGTTGTGTAACAAAAAGTATTAAGGCTTCGTATAAAGACAAAAATACATTAAAGAAAACATAAGCCTCGTAAAGGTTTATCGTAATTTCTTCATTTGTACCGTGCTATTGGAGAAAATGGTTATATCTACATAAGCATGTTGCTTAACAAACATCTTTTTTAATTTAAAGAAATATGAAAGTCATTTCGAAAAATACTATTATACTATCTGAGCAATATAATGCAAACAATACATTTGTATTAATTTGAAAGTTGTTACATAATGTAATTTTATCATTCTATTCATTTAATTGCAAATGTTACTTTATGACAACGTACGTAAAACACAAGAATCGTAATGAAAGTTTGGTAAAATTTATAATTATTCATATTTAAAATTTAAAATTTGCTTAAGTTTTGATAAATAAATTATTAGTGTAATAGCTTATATACCTCACATATCATCAATATCCGTTTTATATTTCTTGTATTAATTTCAAATTCAAAAAAAATTACCGCACATTCAATGAACATAATACTGCGACGACTATTTATATGTAATAAAATAAAAAAATTGTATATTTTCATATATTCTCTACAGTTACGATGCGAGTAAATATGATGCGTTAATTATGATTTTGATACTATATAACATAATATAATTACTTAAAAAAAATGCAAATGGCACTTTTATTCATCGATTAATTTTGGCAATGAAGTAAATTATGATATTTTTTGTACTTATATATATATATATATATATATATATATATATATATATATATATATATATATATATACATACATTGCTTATCTCACAATATATATATATATATATATATATATATATATATATATACATACATTGCTTATATCACATTTACTGAAAGAATGCATAAATCATTTTTATATCAAGATTATTAAAATACCATTCCTTATACATTATATTTTTAACTTTATTCAATCGTTAAACATTTTATAATTATGCTCATTCCCAGTTATTTTTCATAACCTAATTTCAAAAAGATTTTGTTTCATATATTTATGTTCAAATTTGTTTTTTAGTTTGATTAACATACAAGAATACAATATTCGACAATATAGAACTATTCATGTTATATATTTGTTATACATTTGAGTATACGGGATTACAGCATATGGAGTAAGGAAAATTAAATAAATGATTTATTTAATTAAACGTAAACGTTCTTCTACGTTACAAAATTACTCGATTTACATTAAATATATTAGTTTCGAATTAGATTATAAGCTAAATTTGCGAATTTTTTTCTTACAGAAGAATTACATTTTTTTACTTGAACAACTTACTACTGTCTTATATAACTTTTGTCTTATATATTATTTTATAACTGAGAACATGGAAGTATACATGGAATATGTGGCTCACTGATTGGTTAATTTTATATAATTTGCATTATATCGTAAAATGACAATTTAATAATTAAAATGATATTTGTAAAATAGATTTGTATATATCTGTAGAACAGATATGAAAATATATATGTGCAGTAATTTTATTTGAAATTATAACACGAAACAAGATCTTCCTTGGTCCATGCACAATAATAAAATGCATGGGAAAACTTTATATTCTATGAACGCGAGAAGGCTGATTAAAATTTTATTATGTATTAAATAAACTAAAGGAATTATTTGCTTCAAAGCAAATTCTGAAAATTTATTATTAACAAATGTTGAAATCTTAAATAATGTGATTAATAAAAAAATATTTTTTGATTTATAATGTTAAGATTTGCAAATAACATAACTGAATAAAAATTATAATAAATTATATTTGATTATTTTTCTTCTCTTATTTATCATGCATTAACTTTTTAAGCTTTTAAAAACTTGAAATTTTTATTATTAGAGGAAATACTTGTACATACACATACATTTGGCAATCAAAAATTTATTTCTTAATATTATGTAATAATTATAATTTTTATATTAGAATACATATGAGGAATAAAATATAATGAACTATTACAGTAACTCTATACAGTATAGAGACTTATTAGAATTAAATTTTCGAGTATTAAATTACAAAGTAATTAAATATATTTGCATTAGTTCTAAAATAAAATTTTCATCACGTATGCATGTAATGTCAATAACTTCGTATTCTGTAATAAAAGCAAATACGAGAAAAACACTTTTTAATTTTATAATAAATCGCAACCTCTTAATTTCGAGCCCCAAACAACTGTCGTCATATATTATATTTTTAATTATGGAATATTTTTATATATTTATTATTATAAAATTGAAATTAAGAGACTGATTTTTTTTTACTCACGCAAAACATATTTAATTATAATATGTTCAGAATTGGGACATTTTCCAAGACCTTGGGCTTTCGGAAATTTATAATCCTTTTATTTAGTATTTTGTAAACATTATGTTTCTCGGAATACTCAAACCTGGAGCTTTACATTCCCGGAATTCTCGAATCTTCTAAAGCTTGATTCTCGAATGCCCTGCAAGTTAGTTTAGTCTTCGCATACCAACACCGGTCCATTCTAGCCAGCTAACTAAGCTGTCACGTGGATATTTAAAGGAAGCACACGACGAGACACACGCTTATCAGCCAGGGTCTACAGCAATGAGCTAGTCAACAGGAATTACTCAGTCAATCACGCTCTCTCAGTCAAGCCATTACATAAGAAATACACGTTCAATTATCCAGTTAAGGGTGCTGACTGAATTACAAGAAAATATTCGACTACAAGAATCATGATATCGATATACTTCTTATCACCAAGGTATACCAGTAGACACTATTGAGGGTAATTCTTACACAATTAAGACATTCGCCCTCCAATTGAGTATGCACAACTTTTTGCTAATCCTTACAACATTATCAAAATCCTCAATATCATAAGCCATACTCCTTTCCAAGGAGTGTGCACAACTTTTTGCTAATCCTTACAACATCAGCAACAACATTATCTTTATCACCAAGGAGCAACTACATCGTTGTGATTGAACATAGTTCACAATCTCCTATGAGAAGTGAATTCAACTCATCAAAAATATAATTGTCAATAAACCATGATAAACGATGTTTAACGAAGTCTACATACACTGTGTATATCACTACAGCCTTTCCACTCTTGCTTCCAGCCTTTTAAGTTCTTCCCGAGCACCCACTAGGCGGCCGTCAAATTAAGTGAACTATAGAATTTGGTAGTTCGAGCCAGAAAATCAAACACATTTTCGAACATTTGATCCTTCGAGTCGAAGGTTTGAACCGTACTGTGGATCTTGGATATTTTGTCATTGAGTCGATCTGTTTTGGTGCCCTCAACCGAATTGTTATAAAAGCCTTTAATTGATCGAAACGCGGGTATGAGCTGGAAGTGCCAAGTGATGACCCCCATAATTCCTTGGTTTTACGATCGAATTGTTGTGAGATTTGATGTACTAAAATCTAGTTCCACAAATCTTCTATAATTTTCAATGCTAGTAACTGTTTTATTGCTTCATCTGAGCTTTTAACGAGTTTTTCTAACGCAGCTGTGTACTCTTTAATTGGGGTTAAAGAGGGAGAGGGGGGGGGGGGGGGAGAGAGAGGAGTCAGCCAGCACTCGACATTGACGCTCGATCAAAGTGTATAGTTTTAAGGTTTGTCAAGTACGTCACCAGCCCCTGTGTATTAATTGTCTCTGCGGTAACTGCAAAGTTATCTCGTCGTTTTATCGGCGAGACCGAGTGGACAATTTTTTTTTTTTTTTTTTTTTTTTTTTTTTTTTTCTGTTTTTCTTTCATATCCCACGTGTAAACTAATTTATTATTTATTATTTTAACGCCGTTTATTATTGTAACGTTCAGTGAGCAGCTCCCAGACTGGAGCTAATGATTCTTTTGTCAGAGGGAGTCCAGAAATTAATTGTATTACTGGCATAATGTAGCTTTTCACCCTTGCAAATGTCATTGCTTTCCATTACTAATACCGTAAAGAGGTCGCTGAACCCATACCAATCTTCCTGCCTTTCGGAAAACTTCGGAAGATTTGTGTGCGGAAGTCGCGTTCCGGGTGACGAGGCTTCTCTCTTGTAGGTTCGACGAAGGTTATTGATGATTGCTCGTGTCATCGTGTATTGTGAGAATTCCTCGACATAGGTATTTTTCTCGAAATACTCGTGTTCACTCTGAGCTGCTGGCCAAGTCATCTCCACATACGTGTCTCCTTTACTGAAGCCCTTGTGGACCCCCTCGGAGTGCGAATATGCTTCAGAATGTTCTTCCAAGGTAACATCGAGGTGCGATGAAGTGAATCTCTCAGCCAGATTCTTCAATAGTTTGATGCGATTCCATTGAGTTTTAACTTTAAAATGAACAATTGTGATGGTGAGGCACTTTGAAGTCTGTCTTCCCTTGCTGGTGTGATGGTAGTTCTAGGGGTCCTAGTGGTCTTTGGTTCCATCACACCTTGATTAGCGTGCACTAAACAGAGATCTCCAGATATCTATGTAGTTATGTTCTAGGTGATGGGTTCCTACGCGACGAAGTGGGAGGTTGTAAATGTCCAATTTCTCATTAGTGTAGTACCACGTGCTGCCAAGTATTCAGTGATGCAAATGTAGGGCACCGGTGAGATGCACTACCTTCCACTATATCCGGCTCGAAGGACCAAATGATTTCTTTTAATGGGGACGCCATCGCATGGAACACGGTTTGTCGTAGCAGGACCCCATAGAACAGTCTCTCTTTCTTTCTCTCTCAGCAGAGCCGACACGGAAGGAAGACGCTGTAAATTTATTTGAGCATTCAACCAGATAATCAGTAAGGAAAAGGTATTGGAAGATGAAATCAAGGGCGTTCTGATACCATAATACGGATTAATTCAAGAATTATTCAAGTGAGATGGTAACAACCTTAACAACTAAATACTGCTATAGATCTCTGACTCTCTGCCATCGCCTTCTCTCACTCTGTGCCATTCGACCACGGGTTGAATGGAATTCTGACAATACATGATACAATATGAATACAACATGAAACAATATATGACAATTGAAATTTTTCAAAATACAAAAAGAGAATAATATAAAATTGAATATACTGTATTAAATGTAATATTTTGCTTTGAGTATTTTATTTATATAATTAATTACTTTATTTCTATATAAAAAATAATTATTATTAAAAATTATTTTGATTGGATTTGCTAAATTAAATAATGGTATCGTTTTGTAGCACATTCTTTTACAATTTTACACATTATCTGAACTTATATTTTATGAATATATATATGGATATTAAGTTACATGAATATAAGATTATTATTAATATTAGTTTTTTATTTGATTTTTATTTATTTATTAAAATTTGAAATCATTTAAATTCTTAAATGATTGGAAAAATAAGAATATTTAGTAAAATATTAAAACGCTAAAAATTAATAAAAATACTAAATTTTATTCATTCTAAAAAGGCAACATTTTAAGAAATTAATTCATATAAAAGTTAAATATAAGTAAGAATAATAGTAAAAGATTCTAGTAAAAGTCTTTTAAAATAATACGGTTAATTAATCAATATATATATATATATATATATATATATATTTATGAGGTGTTAATATTGAAGTAGAATTATATGTGGAATTTACAATAATTATGTTTAAATTTGCAATAATATATTGTTCATGTTTAAATGCCTAAATAAATATTATTTTATTTTGTTTATATCTATAAAATCAAAATAATCATAAAAGCAAAACGGTGTCTATGAATATAGTTACTTAACTTTAAAAATAATCATTTTCATTTAGAGTATATTGTTTGAATATTTTTTTGAACGAATAATAAATCTATTTATATCAATAATATGTCAATTCATTCTAAATTTTATGTTTTATAAATTGTTGTTTTATACAGTAGAAATTCTTTGGAGTAAGTGTAATTTAAAAAATAAATCAGACTTAAATGTATTACAAAATGTTAATTTGCAATTCTTTAATTGATTTTGCCTTTAAATATTGTAATATACTAATAATTAAAAGGTTTTGAATATAAATATTTCCATTATTCAAACAAATTATTGTAATATGAATAAATATCGAAAATACGTTTGTACAGTTTATACAAAATATTCTACACCATTATAAAAAATTTTAAGTAATAAATTTATATTAAAAGTAAATTATATTTATTTAGTTCTAAAGAGGAACTTTATATTTGCCTCAAACGGAAATACATTATGATCAATAAAGCCACTTGCAAGCCAATAGAAATTAAGGAAGTGGCATTTTACTTTAATATTGAATACAATTTCCTTTTGTATTTTTTTACTATTTTTATCAGTTTTAATTATTTATATATGAGGGGAAAAAAATTAATTCTATATTATACAATTTTCCGGAGAAAATCTCATTTACGTCTTCTCATTACGTCTAATTAGCATTAAAACACAAAAACAATTATAAAACAAACTAATTTTACATTTATCAATTATGTAATTTTTTATTGTAGATATATTAATCAAGTCTAAATATAAATGCAAATTTATTAGTATTAATAGAATTCAATATGAAAAAATTAAATTTCTACAATTTATAAAGATGAATAAAAATATTCAAATTCAAACTCTTTTATCATTATAAGTACTCATATTTTTGTTTAAGAACTTTCAAGAGTTGTATTTTTTATTCTAAAGTATTCAAATTTTTCTCGATTTAATTGTCATTCTTATTGTGAAAAGGAAGTTTATTTATTCCTAATATAAGACTTTGAGTAATATTAAATGCTTATGTGTAGATAAAATTTTTTTAATATTTTTAACAATTCCAAAAATAAAAGTAAATATAACATAAAAAATGATTTGTTTATCTTTCAAAATGATTTATGTTAATAAAGATTGATTTAAAGAAACAAATAATAAATGTAGTCACTGATATTCTTATTAAAAAAAAAATTGAATATATATTTTAAATAATTAAATAAATTCGCTATAATAATATAAGGTATTATTTATAAAAATTATAATAAATATTAATTTTATTATAAATGTAAGGGAATATTTACAAAAAAAAAAAAAATTAATATAGATAATTAATTATGCAATCTATTACGATGCAGATTACGGGTAGAGTAATACGAGTGTTTTTAGCTGATTTATCGGCTTGACCAACAGATGTCGTTAATAATATAATCAAGGTTTTGTGATATCAAGAAATTGACGTTTTATATAAAAATAAAATATTAAGAAGAAAAGTGATATTAATATTTGTATAATTTAAAAGAAAAAACATTTTTCATTTGCAACACTGAGTATTATATTAATTTAACTATTAAAAAATGTTTGAGATCTCTATCATTTAAAAGATATGATAATATTGTATTTATGTCATGATCAACTAGTCCATTTGATATGAAAAAATAATATACTATATATTTTAAAAATGATATATTAACTAATTATTTTATTATAATATTTAATCGTTTAAATAATATTAATTTTTCAATTTTAATATATTAAGAAGTATAATGTAAACAAGCCTTAGGTGATTTCAATGCCTCATTGATAAATATGTCGTTTTTATAAAATTTGAAATAGACATAAAATTTAGAATTAAACTGTAGAAAATTGCTAAAACTTAGTATTCGACTATTACCATAATATTTAGGAATAATGTATTATATTATTTTCGTGATAATTAATGCTTGCAGCTGTCAAAAAGTAAAGTATAGAATAATCTATAGGAGAGATAAAGTAGGAAACCACAATACCATCTTCAGTAAAACACTTGTTCTTTCTCTTTTCGTTATTCCCGTTACTTGCGCACGGTAACAAACCGCTGACTTGACTTCTCCTGAACGTGTCGCATCAACAATGGATAAAAGAGAGT